TAGAGATAGATATTCAATATTGGAGTTGGTGGATAGTTCCTCTATATAGAGAGGGTCAATAAATGTAGGTAGAGATAGATATTCAATATTGGAGTTGGTGGATAGTTCCTCTATATAGAGAGGATCAATAAATGTAGGTAGAGATAGATATTCAATATTGGAGTTGGTGGATAGTTCCTCTATATAGAGAGGGTCAATAAATGTAGGGTAAGAGATACATATATTCAATATTGGGTTGGTGGATAGTTTCTCTATATAGAGGATCAATAAATGTAGGTAAGAAAAAGGATAAATATTCAATATTGGGTTGTTGGATAGTTCCTCTATATATAGAGGGTCAATAAATGTAGGTAGAGATAGATGGCTAATGTGCAAGATTGTGGATAGTTCCTCTATATAGAGGGTCGATAAATGTAGGTAGAGATAGATATTCAATATTGGAGTTGGTGGATAGTTCACTCTATATAGAGATTGATAAATGTAGGTAAGAGATAAATATTCAATATTGGGTTGGTGTGAACTAGTTCCTCTATATAGAGAGATTAGATAAATGTAGGTAGAGATAGATATTCCAATATTGGGTTGGTGAGATGGTTCCTCTATATAGAGAGGATCGATAAATGTAGGTAGGAGAAATGTAATGTTGTCAATATTGGAGTTGGTGGATAGTTCCTCTATATAGAGAGGATCAGTAAATGTAGGTAGAGATAGATATTCAATATTGGAGTTGGTGGATAGTTCCTCTATATAGAGAGGATCAGTAAATGTAGGTAGAGATAGATATTCAATATTGGAGTTGGTGGATAGTTCCTCTATATAGAGAGGATCAATAAATGTAGGTAGAGATAGATATTCAATATTGGAGTTGGTGGATAGTTCCTCTATATAGAGAGGATCAATAAATGTAGGTAGAGATAAATATTCAATATTGGAGTTGGTGGATAGTTCCTCTATATAGAGCGGATCAATAAATGTAGGTAGAGATAGATATTCAATATTGGAGTTGGTGGATAGTTCCTCTATATAGAGAGGATCAATAAATGTAGGTAGAGATAGATATTCAATATTGGAGTTGGTGGATAGTTCCTCTATATAGAGAGGATCAATAAATGTAGGCAGAGATAGATATTCAATATTGGAGTTGGTGGATAGTTCCTCTATATAGAGAGGGTCAATAAATGTAGGTAGAGATAGATATTCAATATTGGAGTTGGTGGATAGTTCCTCTATATAGAGAGGGTCAATAAATGTAGGTAGAGATAGATATTCAATATTGGAGTTGGTGGATAGTTCCTCTATATAGAGAGGATCAATAAATGTAGGTAGAGATAGATATTCAATATTGGAGTTGGTGGATAGTTCCTCTATATAGAGAGGATCAATAAATGTAGGTAGAGATAAATATTCAATATTGGAGTTGGTGGATAGTTCCTCTATATAGAGCGGATCAATAAATGTAGGTAGAGATAGATATTCAATATTGGAGTTGGTGGATAGTTCCTCTATATAGAGAGGGTCAATAAATGTAGGTAGAGATAGATATTCAATATTGGAGTTGGTGGATAGTTCCTCTATATAGAGAGGGTCAATAAATGTAGGTAGAGATAAATATTCAATATTGGAGTTGGTGGATAGTTCCTCTATATAGAGAGGATCAATAAATGTAGGTAGAGATAAATATTCAATATTGGAGTTGGTGGATATTTAATAAATTGCTCCAACAACAGTAATTGTCGCAACTCCTCCATGGTGGTGGCTTGACTCGCCTGTATACACCCCTGAGATGCTTGATCCAGCTTGTGCGCCCATTCGGCATGAGAATTCTTCTCCGGTTTGCGCAATCCTCTGAACTTGCGCCTGTATGCCTCCGGAGTAATGGCGTATCTTTCGAGTATGGCTCTGTTCACCTTTGCATAGTCTTTGCTGTCCTCCCTGGGGACAGCGCGATAGGCTTCTGCTGCCCGACCGCCCAGTTTACCTGCCAGCAACGGCACCCATACTGCCTGTTCTAAGTCATGTAGGTCACATAGCCTTTTGAAATCTTGCAAATACCCATCAATCTCATCCTTCTCCTCGCAAAACATTTTGAAGGCATTGTAACGGATCACCTGGCACCCCGACTGGGTACCTCCTTTAAAGGATGCTCCTAGCGTTTCCTGAGGACTCCAAGCACTCTGGCAGACACCACAATCACCGAACCGGAGAAGCGTATACCTTCTCTCAAGCATATGAATGCTGTAGACAGTTGAATAGGAACCATACGAATAGGTTTACTCTCCTAGCAGTCAAACTGGAACAGCATACAATAAATTCTTCCCCCAATAATAAGACGACACTTCACTTTGAGGGTTAAAACAGGAACTCTTGTGCTGGCACACCCAGCCTGGTTTTTATTACAGTCTTTCACATACAGGACCGCCCACAGAGAGGTATAAAACAACCAATCACATATCAGTTACATCCCACATATTCCCTCCCCTTATCCTGAGAGGAAAATCAATTACACATACAGTTAAAACATACTTACTACCCAACTTTCATAACTTTAAAACCATACATCACATTCACATAAAATGACATATTCACAATCAATCCATTCAGGGGAACAACATATTAAAAAATGGCATGAATCCGACCAGGGGTTCAAAAGTGAGTAAAAGTATCTTTTGGGCCCTGGCTGGCACAT